AGGGAAAGAGATGTCATGCACCTGCAAGATATTTTCTTGTGCTCATCTCAGGTCATGGCCATTTGCCCAAGGCATAAGGTGGGGGACTACCAAGCATGGGCGTGGATGAGGATACAGGTAGAGACAACATAGGTTGGAAGTTGAGACAGAAGGGACAGGGTGTGTGTGTATCAACACCCCGGCATGGTCAGGGTTACCAGGGAAGGCCTGAGCCCAGAGGCAACGATCTGTGGGCATTTAAGCATGTAAGCAAGGGCTAATGTTTCAACCTGGTGATTTTTTTTTTGGGGGGGTGTATGTGTTGTTTTTTTTTTTTTTCTTTATCCCTTCTTTTTTTACTTCCTGAAAGCTGATTCCCACTTTTCCTGGTCTGTGGATCTATGTTACAAGAGCTTCCTTTGGGGTTCAACAAAATCAAAGGGTGACTTCTGCTTTATCGTCAGCAAGGACTGGACCAGGCCTTTGGGGGCTTCTCTCTGTTGCCCACGCCAAGCCTCTAGAAAGGGATATTCTGACTCTTTGCCTCAGCCAGTGCCACAGATGAACATGGGTTATTTTTGTGCTCTCTCCTTCACCCACAGCCCCACGCACATACCCCCTTTTCCCCCTTATTCTTCATGTGCATGCATCAAAGCCCACATATGACATCATGGTGACCACAAAAGGAAAACCCCCAAGATGAGTGTATGCACAGCATTAGTCAGGCTACTGCTTGTGCTGTGCATGAGGAATTTAACAGATTCCCTCAAGAGTTTAAACCATAATAACAAGCATGTTTGTTTATATTTATTTATTTATATTCTGCTGGGGAGTGCGGAGAGTGGGCACTTGTGAGGGAACTAATGGTCTGGTTTTAAAGGAGGATCTGTCAAGGCCTTTTGAAATCCCACCCCCTGGAAAAAAAAAAAAAAAAGCCCTAAAATGCACTCCAAATAGTAAAACAAACAAACAAACAAATGAACAAACAGTTCACTACAAACAGTAGTGAACTGTTCACTACAAACATGAAGTCACATCCCCACTCCTGGTTTGTTATCGTAGGGTTTTTTTATACGAATGGGACATCCAGACTTTGAAATGATCAGAGAAGCTTTCAGAGGGGGACCTGACAGGGGCGTGTCTGTGTGAGACATATATGTGCACCTATCTCTACATGTACACAGTATTTACAGGTATGTGTAAGCAGATGTGTGTGCGTGTACATCTGCATGCTTGTTAGACCTAACAGCACATCTTAAAAAGGTATGAGTGAAAAAGGGTCTAATTTTCTCCTGCAAATACCTGGCCCTTAAAAGCTGAGTGTCAGGATGTGTTTTGCTTGCACAAGCTGTGTGCAGAAGCACTTGTCCAAAGTGCCAGTGCAGGAGTAGGAGGTGTCTAACTGAGTTTGTCACTGCTGGGCGAATGGCCAAGGACTGCCCAACCCCGGCCCTCATCCCAAGTCACCTAGTGACGAATCCCCTCGGTCAGCCCTGAGCCACCTAAACTAGGAATAACCCAGAAGGGTCTATCTTGGACATGGTGCGTTTGGTGCACAGGGCTGGAGGAGTGACAGGAAGCACAGAGCAATGCGGATGAGAGGGGACCATCTTAACCCAAGTCTGGGGGTTGTGGCCCTAAGCTTTGGCACCTGCTTCTCCCAGAGAAGGGCCTCTTTGGGATCTGCTATGACATGGGAGGTGGGAGTCAGGCACCTTGCCTTCAGTACATACATGGGACTCAGTTTCTCCCTCTGCAGATCACTTTCTTGGTAGGTGGCGAGGGAGCAATGATGCTTGGCACCCAGACTGCCACCAGCACGGAGGAGAACTTGCTTCACTGCTACAAGACATCACTCCCAACCAGAGAGAAGTGGAAAATGGGAAGGGTCTGGGCTGAGGGGAGACAATTCCTGCTTGGGAAAGTGCAAAAAGAGAGTAACAGATAGACGAGGGAGATCAGTGAGTGAGGACTTTGCAGGCTGGACTGCTGAAGCACACAGGGATCCTGTCCTAGGTCACTTAAACCACCTGGTGAGACTGGGGAAGGATTGAAGATCTCTTACACCACCTGGCAAGGCTGGGGAAGGACTGAGAATAACCCCTCAGTGCAACTACCAACACAACAACCTTTATTTCTTCCTTTTGCTGGAAGACAGTCTTGGCCAGGAAGAAGGAACAGATTTCAACATAAGTGCATTTAACTATTCAGTTAGTTTACCAAGGCTTGTGACAGAGCCTCTGTTCCTAAACACTTTTTTTTTTTAAAAAAAAAAAGCAAGATAGGTTTTTCAAATGTGTTTTGGAAAAAGCCATGTTCCCATGTGAATAGGAGTGAATTTGGGACTGCAGCAGACAGCATTGTGCAGGAGGGAAAGACCAGACATCTTCTGGCTCTGTAATCTATACAGCTATGTCCTACATCTCAGGCCAGTGCTTTGACCACAAACCTGTCCTTTCTCTTTTACATTGGAGCAGCGCTTTGTGTTTGAAACTCCATGGAAAACTGGACTTTTGCATTATGCTCAGCATGGGTTTAGATAAAGACCCAGTAAACCATCCATCTGCCTTCTCCCATTGGTTTGATTTCCAAGCAGAGGTTTTGCACTGTAATGCAGTTACAAAATATTTGTGGAGAGTCTTTGGGCCAGCAGGATCTGCTTTGCTGGGCTTGCTCACAGTGGTGCCTATGTCCAATAAAAAGGCAACGGGTGGGCAGTAGGGAGGAAGGCTGACTGGAAGTCTTCCTGGGGCTCTGGTCCCTGATTTCTTGAGGAGGGTTCTCTGGGACAGCTGTGCACAAGGAGTGGATTCACAGTGTGGACACAGCCTAAAAGTTTGTGGAACTTGGAAGGCATTTAATGGTCAAGGCATAACTCAACCCCTGCAGAGTCTGCAGTGTACTAAAGATGTTCTTCTAAAAGAAGAACAACTGAAACAGGATTTTGACACCTGCTAGCTTTGATTAGATGCCAAGGTCAGAGATGTGATAGCTGTTATGAATGTTGGTGAAAGACCACTGAACATTGTCTTTATCTTCCAAGGCCTGAAACCTGCTGAAAGTAGTAACTGGAACATTAAATTAATAACAGGTGTAATCTTAGGGTGAGTTCTTCACCTCTTTCTCTTGCATGTCTCCCTTTTTTGTAACCAGGAACACAGCCTGCTGCTTTCCCTGTGTTAAACTTCTCATTTTCATCCTGTCCTTGCCCAAAGCATGAACCAAATTTGGCGAATCTGAACTGCACCTCCCTTTCACAGACCTGCCAAGTCCTCAGCACTACAGAAACAACTCCGGGCTCCAGAGGGGCAAACAAGTTTGGGAAGAAGAGGGGTCTGTCTGCAAGGATTACCAGAGGTTAGTTATGTCAAATACTAGGAAAAAAGAGAGAAGGTCTCCCAGTAAGTATTAAGCAGTGCTGCTCTCATGAGAAGGAGGAGGAAGGGAGGGAAGGAGGGAGCCAATTGATTGCTGAAGGAAAGCCCTGTATTGTGACACTTTTGTTATATGGAAAATCAATCTCAGATGATCTAATGGTCCCTTGTTGCCTCAGGAAAAAAAAAAAAAATCCATAAATTTGTTCCAGTTAGTTGTTCATGTTGAGGAAAATGAGCCAGAAGAAAGATGGGACTGCTAAAAAGTATTTGCTTCCTGCAGGGTAAACGGTTTTAAAAGCGTGGCTTGGAGGAAGTCCTAGCATGGACAAACCCCTGCACCCTCATAAATGAGGACTTTTTACTACTGCAGATTCTTCTGTTGGATCTCACCTAAACAGGCATGTCCCCTCAAATCTAGAGGATTCTCCAGGTAAGTTGCTGAGGCCCTTTGGATTTCCATGGGTGGGCACTTCAGCATAGCTGAGGGAAGATAGGCTGTGCCTTTGGATCTGATCAGGACCTATCAGTAATATCTGCCAGTGAATGCTGGGGCAAAACCTTCAGGGCTCATCCCTGGGTTTGCAGTTCAATGGAGATGGTCTTTTGGTACTGGCAGGTCTAGGCAACACCTGAAAGAAGATGGGGAAATGCTCCCTGACTGCTATGGGCTTGATCAAGGACTCTCCTGATGCTTCAGACCATGGTGTTAATGTGCAAATTTGCTCCTCTCTACCACAGCTCTGACTCAGTGGTGGACCCTCACCACAACCCGGACCCTTTATAACCAGTGTGAGGGCTTGGTGATCCTGTATCAAGCTGGCCAGCTGTCTTGTCGACCAAGAAGACATAGAGCTTGTTGTCTATATCTGAAGCAATGGCTGTGAAATGGAAGAGAGGCAAAAGACAGGTCTGAGAGTATCATATACGAAGTGTTAGAGAGGACATGTCTGCAAAGTGCTTGCAGAAATCACGACACATTAAGTTAAACGTCCCAAACTCCTCTGCTTTGCAGCAAAGCACATGCGGAGCATGGTATGTGCTGACCTGATGGGGCCCAGTGCCCAAAACCACAAGACCCCTGTGGGAAAGTAAATTAGTTCTTCCTGCCTCTGCAGCCTTTTAATTCCTCACAGCTGACTTCCAACTCATGCTAACATCTCCCTAGCCACAGCTTCCATTCCCAATGAATTTGAAGACAATGCTGCTCTTTGGGAGGAGGACGGGTAATTATGGGATTTATAACTGACCTTCTCTCATGTGTTGTGCTTGTGTGCCTCCAAGAATGGGATTTGTACTTTTTGTCCTGTTTAGAAAAACACACTTGACCATGGTGGGTTTTTTTTGTTTGTTTGTTTTTTTTTTTTTATGGAGTGGTGTAGGTTTGGCCAAGAGAAAAGCATGAAACAGAGTGTCATTGAAGCTGTAAACAGGGGAGGAGAAGATTTTTCTTCACTTCTGCAGAGAACATGGAGCAAAGAAAAGGGGACAGAGCCAGACCTGCCTAGGAAGGAGGAATGAAGGAAGGAGCTGAAAAGATCTTGCCTGCTTAAATTAAAATACAGCTTGATAGACTCTGAGTCTGCCTGTTTTCTGTGTGAGTTACCTGGAATCTCTGCAGGCAGGATAGAGACCTGGCCAATCTAGTTGGGCAGAAAAAGGGAAAGAAAGCCAGGAAAGAATACTTCCCTGTGAACGAAGATTCCTGGGCACTGACCGACATGACCAGCAGTGTACCCACCATCAATGGTCCGAGCATGGCTCTGTAAAGGTAGGTATATGGGTTGAAACGCCCGTGAGTGGCAGGGCTGAGGGAGCAGCTGAGGCACTACTGGGAGGCCATATTTGGATGAGCTTGTTGATATTTTCCACTCAGGTCTAGATGGTGAGCCATGAGGAAATATCACCTGGTCTAAGCTGTGCAACAACCATGTAAGTGTGGTTGGAGCCCTTCTGCTGGGCCATAGCTCAGGTTTGGTGTGGTGAGACCACCTCTGTGTTTTGTGTGATGATGACGGAACATAAAAGACTGAGGTGAAATTGGTTCTGCCTGCTCCTCAGAGGTTTTGAGGCAATCTGCATAATCTAGTAATTGATGGACTGCTTCCATCCGTCAAAGGCATGTCTTGTATGAGAACGAAGTGTTTGGGACTCCTGTGTCTTGTCCTCAGTGTCTTCTGTGGTCAAGGAAGATGGCTTTGAAGTGGTAATGGTGCACAGAGTTGACAATATAAGATCTGGTAAAAGAGGAAGACATCAGTTTTGAGCAGTAAAACCAGTGCAGAGCGGGGATATAACCATTTTGGGTTTTAATACAAAGGTCGGTGAGGTAGAAGAGTTTTATAAACTCAAGGACAGTTTCAAAACAAAGGCAAAGGATGATAAACTGAGCACAGATAAATTCAGAGGGGAAATTAGAAGGTCTCTAAAAGGTATAAAGTGGATGTTTTGGAAGAGGTTCAGCAAGAAGCAGCCAAAGACAGATTGTGGCCACTTGTCACATGGAGCTCCATCAGTTTTGGAAAGGGTGGTGAAGTATTTTTGCTTGTGACAGGAGTGACTGGATGTTATGGGCTGGTTGGTCCTTCCTTTCCTTACTGTTGAGTAAAACATGATGTAGGAGACTGAAAAGTCCTTTTGACTAAGAGAAGTATAAGTGTAGTCCTCACTATTAACAGTAGCAAGAGCACAAGATCTCAGGAACCCCAAGGCGAAAGGCCTCCGGAAACTGACTGAATTGAAAAAAGACACCCCTAAACCACAAACAGAACAAATCTGAAATCCTCATTAGTATAAACAAGGTACAGAAAAGGTTATTTTTTCACAGCTCAGTTATTCCACCAGGCCCATCTGAAAGCAAGCATTACATCTCCCCTGTGTGCAATTTCCTCTTCCGTTTTTGACCAGTATTTCACAGCTTGTCACCTCACTTTGCTTCCCACCCAAAATGAAATTGATAGTGGGTGATTGAACCAGTTGTATTTTTCTCCCTCCAGAGGTGGCTGCATTTCAGTAACAGGTGAAATGATAATGACACGGCTGTAGAAATGTCCATTTATTCATGCAGTCCAGACTGGACTCCTTTGTCAGCAGAAGAGCACCTGGATAGACAGGTAGGACTCTCCAGGAGGCAAACGAGAACATGAATGCTAGGTTTCCACCCTGAATTACTCTCTGGAGATGTTTAGACAGCAAGTGCAGAGGAATTCATGGGGTAAATGAGACAGCACTTTGTGTGGGAGCCACCACACCAGGGAGTCACCATGACCTGGGGTGTCTCCAGCAATGTAAGAGGGAGGTTTAGTCATGGAAATGCGCTATTTATACACCTGGGCTTCTCTCTGTGACCTCAGGGAGGATTTTTTTGTTTTGTTTTATGTGTGACATGACTAAAGAACAACAAATCTTAAATCAGTGGAAAGCTTAAAGGAGGTCTTGTAATGTCTCTGTAATGGTCTGGATGCTCAAATGCAGATATATGACTCAGCACACCCATTTAATACCAACAGACAGACGGTTTAGCTATTACAGCTCATTGCAGGAGAGGACTTTATCTGATAATCCAATAATCTTAATTTTATCATTCGGATAATAAACAATGAGGCAAATTCAAAGGAGGCAAAGGCTAAACATAGTGGCTGAAACAGCCTCTGATCTGTTACGTATCAGATGATTTTTATTCATGCTATCATACCAGTACTGGATTCTCAGTCCAGTATAAACCAGTGCAGCTTTGCTGAAGTCAAGGTGCTGAAGTCAACTTGGTCATTTTTTTTTCCCTGCTCTGAGTATCCAGTCTGAAGTGATTAATGCTGTTCAACTCGTAAAACTCATTTTAACCATGTGAATCATGAAAGTTGTGATTCCAGCGAAAACCACTTCACATCTAATCAGGTTAATTGTATGCAATTGCAGAGAATCAGAAGCCTTAGATCTTGAATGCATAGCAGCAAAACACCTAAAGAAAGCTCCCAGTTAAATGAGTGGTGAATGCAAGTGTGTGTTTGGGGTTTTATTTTTAATCTTTTTGTGGGACTAAATGCAAGAAAGGAGCTCATTCTTAAACAAGACTGTTTTGTATATTAAAGATTGCTTTTATTTAATCCGAAAGTCTCCATCACAGAAAACTTCTACACGTGCATTCTTTTCCAGAACAGATATGGCATGCTACACTTGGGAATTTTCTTAGTCTACATTCACATGCAAACATAAACAAACTGAATTAGAAAGAAGGACTCGCATTTCAAAACAATGTTACGAGCACACCAAATCTGGCAATCACAATAAGGGCAGTGCTGGAAACTAGAGATTATTGCAGAAATGGGAACATATTTTGGACAAAGTTCTCTCTCTTAGTCTGAAGCCCTGATGGAGAGAAGACGCGTTATTTTACAGCATCTCAGATACTTTACTGTATCTGAGATGAAGTTGTAAGAGGCCGGACACAGCAGCCTCAGGAAAAAGCTACAATAATTTGTCTCCCCTAGATTTTTACATCAAACAGGTTCCCTTCAATTTCACAAAGTATGTTTTTGCCCTGAAGATACAACTGGAATCTAATAAAATAAGGTGCTAAATTTTGGGTTTTGGGTTTTGTGTTTTTTTGTGGTGTGGGTTTTTTGTTTGTTTGTTTGTTTGTTTGTTTGTTTGTTTGTTTTTACAGGAACAATGTTTCTACCATGTAACTGTACTGCTGTAGATGAAAGCTACTTGCACAGCGAGGTTCCATTGAATCTGAAGTGACATCCCTGATGTAGTTTTTGGCAGAGACACAGAGATTCTGGAGGATGAAACTTAGAAGGTTCAGGAGGCTACTGACCCATAAAGCCCTCTATGCTTGCAGGAGTTTAACTAGGATGTCACTTAAACCTGCAGCCAAAGCACCTCAGGTCACATCAATATCTTTGTTTTAGCCATCAGATGAACTTATATTAAGGTGTTGGGCTGGAAATGGGGTGGTGGGGCACAGACCCATTGATCTCTTGCGAAGACATGGGAACAGAGATGTTGCTTCAAGATCAGAGTAAGTGATACCTTTTAACATCGGTCTCCCTCTAACAAATTGATTTCTGCACCTCCTTTTCTTCCAAAGTTCCTTGCACTTTACAAATGCAGACTGTTCACGCTCCCCCCTCCTCCCCCAATTTCCCTGCAAAGTCATATTTTCTAGGCTAATTCTCATGGTTGTCAGATGGGTGTGTCTTACTCCACCCCAAAAGCTGATGCTCTCCTGCTCCCTTCCTGGCAGGATGAATAAAGTCACGTAGTCTCAAGGAGCAAGAGGATTTAATGATCATTGTTTCTCAGCCCCTTGAAGCTTGCTCTCTCTGATCATGGGGCTGTCTTCCACAGTGCTTTGCTGTGCTGAGAATGGCCTCCACAGCCACATCAACCACCTCTGTCTTCCTCTGTTCCCTTGACAAAATCTCACCTGCTTTCTTCAGCTCTCCAAGAATCAACTCAGTCTTTCCCATTCCAACTAATTAAATTATTCCTGTTATGGTTAAGAAACTAGTGGGATGACAGTATTTTTGCTAACCAGGTACCCTGGAACACTGTAGGATGCCTTTCCTCTCTCCCTGCTTCTCACCACTCCAAGCCCAAGAGCTGGAGACCCTGAAAGCAGGGACATTCACCCTGTTGTCCTGAGTGAATTTCAGTTTGGCTGCAGATTTTTTTTTTGAAATGTTGAACTGATTTAAAACAAAGGCTGACACTTCTCTTGAATAATCTGACATGTGGGATACCTACCTGAAAAATGAAGGCTTGACCTGGTAAGAAGCTTGGATGCTGAGGACTCTTTTAGAGACATGGCAGCTTTTTGAAAACTGGCAGCAATTTTGGGGTGAAATACAGTGCTTCACAGTGCAGAGCAACATAGCACAGTAGTGTCAAACTAGAACTGAGAGCAACTCATATAGCTTCTTCACCTTTGAGGTTATTTTAGGACATCTTTAACAAAGTTAGTATAAAGACAGGACAGTGAATTTTGCAACAAAAGAAAAAAAGAAGTAGGAGTAGAATCTTTAATAGACAGTAACTCCATTTTATAACTACACCAAAAGAGAGATTTATTAATATTCTTTTTTTTTTTTTTTCTTTTCCTATTCCATGATTATTAATCAGGGTGGGGGTGGGGGTGGATTTAAAGGAAAGGGATTATACTCACCGGATTAGTAACACTATGCTTCCCAAACTGGAACTCATAAATCCAGATGGATCCTTACAGCACCATCAAAGCAGAGAAAATTAATCTGTGAAACTGAGATTTGCAAGTGAAAATGGAAATCTGAGTGAGGCAATGAACGTGGAGGTGAAATTACAGATGGTCCCTACTGCCCACATGCCCTCAAACCCTGCTGTTTGGGTGGACTTTGGGCTGGAGGCTGCAGAATGCAACCAACCAGCCCATATTTTGGGCATATGAATGGCTTCTCGGGGCTCTGGAGAAATGCAAGAGACTCGCCTGTGTGTGGTTTCTTCTTACATGGGGAGTTCTGGGCAGGTTACATACCCTGCATGGAAATGGAGTGGAATTTAGAACTGCGGCAAATAGGCATGAAATCAGCTTTCCTCAGCATTCAGCTTTTTCTTCCATGGAAGCTCCCAGCTTGGTGCATGCTTTTGCTGCTGTAATTACTTGGTGAGTACATTAGAGCCCCGGTTTTCATTTGTATTCATTCGCTTTTGTTTTGATGCTCTTTTTTTTTTTTTTTTTCGCTGAGGAAGAGGCATTCATTTCTGGCTGCTGGTCTTACATGTAACAACTCACGCTTGTTCTCTTTGGGGTGCTTCTTTCTTGGGGGTGTAACAAATGTTTTCAGGATGCACTGCTGCTTTACCAGACTCAGGCAACATGTCAAGAAGGGAGAGCCGACTGTCAGGAAAGAAGCAAATTAACTGCTGATGGGCATTATACTTGAGCTCAGGCCAAGCGTCTGAGACTACTTAGTCTTCTGATTAAACAAGAGAACGTGCCTGTGGGGCTTCATGCAATTTGTCACCATGGAGGGGATCTGGGAAAGCGTAAATTACTAGGAGAGGAAATGTATGTATTTGCAAAGAGCCAAGAGTCCTTACTGCAGGGGCTTATCAATAGGGTGGAAAAATGAGAGGCTGGTGGTTATAATACCCACATTCCTATTTACAGCCGCTGTATTGTCACCAGTGCATTAGGCTGTTGGAGCTCAGCAACTCTGGGCAAAGTGGTGTCCTTCTTCTCTGGGTTCATACAACCTCTAGTACAGCATATGACGAGAACATGAAGGATCCAGACCATGCCTGGGGCTTCAGGACAAAAGACCCAAACCAAACAAAACAACAAAAAAAGAACAGTTATTCAGTAAAGGATAGCGCTTTCATGTCTTGAAGAATAAACAGTATGTGGAGAACAGATGGGCTCAGGCAGAAGGGCTATCTTGGAGCTGGCAGAGATAAGAACATTGATATATTTTATATAGTAATGGAGGTATGATGGAGAGGCATGGAGATGACAGATGTGCCCGGGACCTACCCCCTGGCTGTAAGAAAGGTAGGATGACTTCCTCCTGTCTGGCTCTGTGTGCAGGGGAGAATTCAAACCCAGCATTAATCCCAGGATCTCAGTGGGAGACTGACTGTACTAACAAACAGATTTCTTCTCCTTTGCCTCCTGAGGGATGAAGTTCTGTCAGGCAAGGTGAAGTTAGAGACACAAACCTGTGATCTCTCCTCCTGTGGAGTAATGCAAAATGCATGAGGTTTAGACAAAGGAAAGTTAATCTGCTTACATCTATGAAAATTAGTCCCTGGCTTCTCTTGCAAAAGCACCCCCCAGGCGCTCAGCAGAGCTTGCTAAATGATACAAACAAAGCAGCCATTAATTGACTCTTCACTTGCTTTGTATATTTTTCTCCATTTTTTATCTGAAAACTTCACAACTACACAGAGTAATGGAATTGATCCTTTTTTTTTTTTTTTTTTTTCTTTTTTACCCAAGATATGTTTTATAATGAAAGAGCATTAGAATTTCCCCCTTTGGGGAAAAAAAGAAGAGTGTTATTCCTGGCTGTGATAAGCTGAAATATTCTTAAGCTTTCCTGCATGATTCCTTAAGCTATTCTGCTCTTCTGTAACATGTTCCATGAGCTGTTTGCAGAGTGCTTTGCTGTGGACATCAGACATTGCCTTAAAGAGCAGTTGCAAGTTACACAACAGAAGATGTTGTGAGTCCTAACTTGATTCTTTGGTCAGCACAGACAAAATTGCACTCTTGGCTGATTTGGCTGCATTTAGTGCTGGTGAAACAGAGCCAGAACAGGGTCCTGAGCACTGTCCCACTGTCGGCATGATCTGACACGGTTTTGGCCCAATATGGCCAAGTCAGCGTTAAGTTTAACTTCTTCCACAGTCCTCCAACACTACCTAGAAGTCTCTGGAGACTCCAATGTGTGGGCATGCCAGGGCATAGGCTGCTCCATGTGCAGCTGTGGGGTCCACCAGACTTTGTATGTTTGTTTTACAGGTCAAGGCTGGAGGTTATGGGAGGATTTCTTACCTCCCCAGTTTGCACCTAGAAAGACAAGGCAGAAGTGGGATATCTGCAAGAAAAGGCCTTTAGATGGTTGCAGTCAGGAGAGAGGAAGACATTTGTAAATGAATGTGTAGCGATGACACACCTAGAGCTTGGAGCTGCATAGCCCCAGGGTCATAGTAAAGGCTTTGTAGAATGTGTATAAACCATGCTGAGCATTGCTAATGTATGGGAAATTGCTCACTCTGGTGCCACCACAATGCTGGACTTGATCCAATCCTCTGGAGTGCTCCTCTGACCTTGGTGTGCTTTTCCCCACTACAGGGGAGAAACGGACTCATGCCTCTGGCCAGACTGGTGACCTCCTTTAGAGAAAATCCATTGAGAGCTCAGCTGAGGGATTCTGAGGGATGTCCTGCTGGTCTTCGTCAGTCCTGGACAAATCCACACCAAGAACACACACTTGGCTACTGGTCTCTCAGCTTTGGTTGTTTGCTTGGTGATGGCACCTAAGCAGCTTCCAGATTTAGTGGGAGGTTGAGTTGAAATGAGACAGGGGAACAAAGACTTTTTACCCTCTGTCACATAGGCATTAGATCCAGGGCATTTTCTGGGATTCAGTTCCTGGATGAGAAGAGATAGTAAACTAAACTTGGATTGGGTTTGATTCACCTGTTTAAGCTAACCTAGTGTGTTCTGATGGAAACAAGAATAGTTGGTGCTCATGCAAGCAGCTTGGCACTCTCCCAGTGGGGAGAAAGAGGACTTGAGGGAATGTCGTCAGTAAAAACTTTTTCTGGGGAAATTTGAACAGTGTATATTAAGCAATAATTTCTATAGGCTTTCATACAGTTTTAGGTCTTTAACTGCTTCCAGGTTTTTGGAAATCTCTCCTATGGAACAGGCTTGATATAAACATGGCAAGGACAGAGAAATGCACTCATTAGCAAAAGCACTAAGGTATACAGAGGAAGCTGCCTAGAAAGATATTTGGGTATACAAAGCATTGAGAATTATGGCAAAATAATTTCATTTTGCTACAGTGAGCAATCTCTTGGAATCTGCTTAAATTTACGTGGTGGACAAATGTCTTCTGGCCTGTATAAGGCTAATGAGGCTGAAGATGTATGTGGTGGGTTGACACTGGTTTGATGCCAAGTGCTCACCGAAGCTGCTCTGTCTCTTCACCTCCTCAACTGAATAAGGTAGAGAAAACTTAATGAAATGGTTGTGGGTTGAGATAAAGACAGTTTAATAAAGCAAAAGCAAAGGTTGTGCACAAATGCAAAGGAAAACAAAATATTTTATTTTCTACTTCCCATCAGCAGGCAATGCCTGGCCACTTCGCGGGAAGCAGGGCTTCAGTACATGTAGCAGTTGCTCTGTAAGACGGCTGTAAATAATGAATGTTCCTGCTTCCCCCTCTTTTCTCTTACCTTTTACTTCTGGGCAGATGTCATATGGTACAGAATATCCCTTTGGTCACTTTGGGTCAGCTGTCCTGTCTATGTCTCCTCCCAAGATCTTGCCCACCTCCAGCCTGCTGGTGATGGGAGGAATGTTGGAGTGACAACCTTGATGCTGTGCGAGCACTGCTCAGCAGTAGCCAAAACACTGGGGTGTTATCAACACCTTTCTAGCTACCAATACAAAGCACAGTGCTATGGGGGCTGCTATGGGGATGATTATCTCCTCAGACAGACCCAAGACAATCCCCACCCCTTATTACATACCATTTGCATCATGCTCAGGTCCCACGTAATTTAATTTAATATATGTCTTCTAACCGTTTCTTTGCATATGATTTCCATTACTTAAATCCCTTTTTATCAACACAATTTAAACTATATACTCCAACTGCCTTTATACCCGACATGCAGATTTATACATCCCCATGAGCTACTATCCCCTGTCCTTTAGCAGATAGATATTACTTTTCCATTCCATGGACTTCCTCTACTCCTCCAGATGTTCACAAAGGGGTTATGACTTGGGCCTCATCTTCAAGATGGGTGTTCAGGACAGGAGAAGCAGTATGTTCAATTGTTGGACACAAACTTTGGCTTGGTTTGG